TTTTCTCTGTTGGAGCTGGCCACTGTCCTCCTCGGCCCCTCAGGACAGCCTTTGGCACTGGAGCCGTAGCCGTTTACTCTGTGTCCTGTGCTCTCCCTGTGGAAGCCAAGCAGAAGTGGTAGAGCTGATGAAAAAAAATCTGAGAGCTGCTGCTGCTCCTGGAGTAAAGCTAACGTTTGTGCTCATCTTTGAAGGCGAAGACACCTTGCTGTCTTGCTCTTGAGGTTGCAGAAACCAATTTTGCTGAAATAACGTTGTCTTCCCTTCCCTCCTCGCTCTGCTCTTAGGGTGCAGAACAGGGAGGACTGCAACCACAGCACGGCAGAACTTTATTTTCCACAGTGAAGCCGTGAGGGCAGGGCAAGCCTCGGCCTTTGATTTGTGAGCTGGAAACGGTTGCAAAATCTGAATTTCAGAAACAAAAAGTCCGGCCGTTTTTTAGAGCCAGGGCTTGCAAGTGTTTCCCTCCCCTTCCAGCCAAGGCAGAGTGGGACTTCCCCATCCTCCCCCAAAGGATCCTGAGGCAGCATCCTCCTCATGCTCTGTACCGTGGATGGGACCGGGGGGAGAGGGGGATTCCTGGATTGATGGCTTCCCTCAGGAAAGCTGCCACAGCTGAAATCTTGTGCTTTAGCTGCCTGTACAGTTGCCAGATCCATTTAGTGCATAATTCATTTTACTCTCAGGGATACACAAAGGGTTTTTATGAATGTGAAATTGTGTAAACAAGGGTTTGAGTCTTTCTGTCTGTTCCAGGATGGAAACATTAATAGAAGAGCTGGGGGATGTTGAAGCCAAGGACAACGTTCGAGATGAAGAGCAGCTCTCCTTTAGTCACCCTGACTGCGTTATCTCGCTGGACAACTCAGACCAGGTTTGACCTATAAAACCCTCTCCCAGAAACAATTGCGTCTTCCAAACCAGGAATATACGGACCAGCTCAGAGAAAGCACCAATGCTTTTGTGGGGGGAGGAAAATAAACAGTTTGTTTCTTAATGTAAAGCAGAGCCCTCTCTGCTTGTAGGTTAGTAAATATTTGGCAGGAATAAAACTGTGTTATGGTTTGACAAACTGTAAAGCAGATGCCTAAGAATTACATGCAGGGGTTGTTCCTTTCCCAGGCTCTTTCTGCAGCAAGAGCTGCACAGTCAGGCTCACCCCAGCCCTCGGCTGGACACGTACAGGTGCTGTTTTGCTGTCACCACCATTTCTGTTGTCCAGTTCATTGAATTTTCCAGAACAGAGCTTTCTGCTGTAAAAACTGTTTTAAGTAAAACAATAGTAGGGGACAAGGGGAAAAGGATGGGGTGCTGTTAGTTAGAGCACTTTGGAGAGCAGCAAGACTTGAATAATTTGCCGTTATGGAGCAGGGCCCATGACTGGAGGCCCTTTCCCTGGAAAAGCTCGCTCTGAGCAGCACCTGGAGCATGGCAGTGCTGCTCCACTGGCTTTACCCTTCTTTACTACACCTACAGATGTTCATACACCTCTGGCCTTGTCCATTGAGTGTCTCGCTCAGCACAGGTAGCTTGGAGCAACAGTACCACCCTACGGCCACCCCCTTCGCACGGGTTGGCTCCTGTACCTGTGCAAAGTGAGCGCTTTGGCCATTACACCTGTTTGCAGATTCAAAGCCTAAGTCTGAATGCTCTGCAAGAGCTGTCCCTGTTCCCTGCTCTCCCTTGTGGGGTTGAAGGACCAGCCCAGCCCATGCCAGGTACTGTCAGATGCTTTAGGGGGACTTTTCATAGGTGAAGAGTGCGTGCAAGTAGCAGAAAGCTGCAAGCACTTTTATTTCTGCTGGATGAGGTACCATCCCCGCTGTGCTGCCCTGCACGGAGCCAGGGAAGGGGAGGACAGGAGACGGGTGCCCGTAGCAAAGGCAGCAGCACATGAAGCCCAGCAGGCTCTGCACCCCACAAGGCTCGGCACCATGAGGGAGCGCAGTGGGGGTTGAGCTCTTGTGCCCACATGGTATCTGCAAACGCAGTGACAGAGTCAAAACTGGGCATGGGACCAAAGCCGTGTGCCAGCTGCCCTGTGGTGAGGGGAGAACACAGCTGTTCCCACTTGGTTTTCTGTCACTTCAGATCTCTGCTCCAGCTAACGATCTTCTGGGCCAGGTAATATTGGCATTATCCAAGTCTTTCATGACATGCTAAAATCCAGGGAGACATGGATAAGAGAAAACACAGAGTTTCTTGAATGTTACTCAAAATATTTTAATGTACATCCTGTAGCCACATAAAGAAGGGGAAAAACATCTTACAGAGATGAAAGACATTGAAGGATGTGATTTCATCATGCCAACAGCTATTATTTCGAGGTGACTGAAGCCAATAGCATCAAAATAGCTCTTTTTCTGGCACGTGAAAACCAGACCAAGAGGCATGGAAAAGGGAAGAAAAAACTGACAGATTAAGCTGTTCTGCTCCATTAGGTAGAGAAACATTCTCGCTTTGTGGAGTTTGTTAGCAGATAAAAATTTGGTATAAATAATACGTTGAACAGTTCTATTTGTATACACCTAGTAGGCTGGAACAGCTGTAGTGTGTTGGGTAGATGGTTAGGTATTTACAGAGAATGATGACTGATGTAGAACATGACAGTAAGTATGAAACTCCTACCAGATACAGCATTTGAGTAACACAACAGCGGATGTCAGCCACAGGCGAGTGCGGTACCTGCCTCTGTGACGAGGCAAGAGTTGCAAGTTCAGTAGCCTGTGCCAGCACCGTCGGTGCTGACGGTGGTAGACGGCAGCCAGCCACCACCCAGCCCCACCTCAACCCTGCCTTCCTCAGTGCCAGAGCGAGGGTGCTGGACCCTCACCAAAAGCAGCCTCTCTTAACCGCTCTGTTTGTCGTAAGCCCTTAGAGAAAACAAGGACAAAATTCAGCTGAAAAATCAAAACTCTCAAACTCTGCTGGTCGCATATAGGTCTCAGCTACCTTCCAAAGCCCTCGTTAAAGTCAGCGGAAATATTTATAATAGAGGTTAAGCCCAGTCTACAGTAGATACCTAAGTCTAGCTGGCTTCTAGGCTGATGATAGTAGGAGTTTAGACATGGGCCATTTCTTTGTTGCTGTCAGGTTTGTCTCTCACCGGGCTCAAAAGCGTCACTAGGAGGGGGACAGCTGCTTGCCCAGACAGGAGCGCTTACCCTGAGCAGTTGTACTTGGCTTAACAAAGCTACCACCTCTCTTCGTTTCACTGCCATCTAGTTAAACCACCCTCGTAGTGGGTTTCTCACCAATTTTCTAACAGGCCATCCTGTTGGAAAAGGATCCTTCCTTGGGATTCCTCACATCTATTCTCACATGCTGTGAGGGCTCCTAAGTCAGGGCTGAGGAGAACTAAAAGGCAGAGCACTGCCTCTGGTAGCACCTAATGCCGCTGGAGGATCCAGGCCCCGCACCATAGATGCTGGATAGCCTCTGCTACTCCATACTCTTCTGAAGTCAGTGAGATACTGGAGGATAAACATAACACAGGGAAGGCAGGCTACACAACAGAAAAATACTGTACAGCAAAAAATGAAAGCTCCTATCTTCCAAGTGGGAGAATATTAGAGAAATCCCCTCAGTGTGAGGGAGACAAGCCCAGAAAAAAAACTGGAAACAGCGGTGTGGAGGAGGCTGAGGGGGTGTGGAAGAGGCAAATCCTGAGGCTGCAACATGACAGAGCAAGAAACCACCTCAGTATTGTTCTGCCCTGAGTGTCACGGCAGGCTGAGTGGACCAGACCTGTGCATTCACCTGAGAGCCAGACCACTGGCAGAAACAGCTACTCTGCAGCGAGCAGAAAAGCAACCCAGCACAGCCAGGCTCCCACCAGCAGGGCCTGAGGAAACGTGGCCTCGTTCTCCCTAACTAGTAGAAACATGGTAGTGCAACAACCACTTGGAAAAAAGCTGGCAGTAAATAGCGAAGGGAGGTGGAGCAGGCGTCATTAAACGA